AAATCTATCAATCAAAAGAATTCATAGAAATCACCTCGGACCCTTCATCCCTCTCCGTCCATTCTGATTTTTTACTTTCTCGCTCCCATAGGGNTCGAGTGAGAAAGTCCCGTGCGGTCCCCGCACCAATCCGCTAAGCGGATAGGGGGGCGAAGCCCCCCAAATGCCGGCGCGTAGCGCCGGTACGCGGCGCGAAGCGCCGCGCATGAATTGGCCGGAGGCCAATTTTTTTTTTCTCTCTCGTTACGCCGCACTCACGTGTTAAAGTTTTCGTATCATAAAACACGTGAGCTCTACTCGCTTATTCAAAGTAGTCGTCTTCATTAACCATCGGTAGTTCCTTTTCGACGAAATCCGTTCCGTCATTTGTCGCCGGGTGTAATTATTTCCGACGATCGGTCTGCGTAATTATCTCAAACTCTAATAGAACAAGCCCGTAACGCACCGCCTGCATCCAATGTTATCAGTCAAGGCTGCTCTGGATACTGGCCGAGTAAAAATGTGTCAGAGCCAGAGCTGAGGTGTATTGCTTCGAAGAGCTTATTCCATTAAGAATGAGTGTATTTCTCCTTTCTGTTTCCGTAGGATAGGCTCACGATCAGTTCCAATGGGAATACTTTATTTTTTAAAAACCTGACAGTAAGAATTAACATTTAATTAAATTCGACGTATACTTCACATATTTCATCAGTTTAGATTTTATAAGATGCAATAAATATGAAATTTGCACGGAGAAAAAACTTCGTGCATGGGACCCGAAGTTGAGGTCGTATGGATCTCTGAAGTTTTCGGATCACGCATCCGAAAACTTGAGGTTCTGCCGAAGTTTGGGTCAGACATCTGAAGCTCTCGGTATGCACCGGAGTACTTCAGATGTGTGACCTGAACCCTTCGATATATACCGAAGTACTTCAGAAGTCTGACCCGAACTTCGGCAGTTGGACCTCGAGTTTTCGGATGCGTGATCCAAAAACTTCAGAGATCCATGACCACAACTTCGGGTCCCATGCACGAAGTTTTTTTCTCCGTGTGTATCTATACCCGTTGCCTTACTTTATAAGCGAGCAGTATATCTTTTTGTCCTCCCTCCTGCTTGACTGGACCCAATAATTTGGTACTTTTATTCGCGTGGTAGTTTGTTTGCATTGATATTAGGCTTGAAAAAAAATCCCCAGGAAACGTCAAAGTTAAACTGCAGCAAATCTAACTGTACCGGTAGGAAGAAGACTTCTTCGTATTTTTATCCGTGAAAAAACCCCAACTGCAGCCCTGGTGAACATTGGCGATAAGAGCTGCGTTTCAAAATACCATAGGAATTCCTATAGCCGGCTAAAGAGGGCTACAGAAAATCATATAGATGGCTGTAGAATGCGGAGAAAATCATACGGCCGGGCTATACGAAGCGATAAAAAATTATGCAGCCGGGCTATAGTTCCTATCGCCGGGCTTTACATTTTATCGCCGGGCTTTACATTTTATCGCCTGGCTGTTGCTTTTTCGCCATCGATTATAAAAGGCTATAAGAAATTGTGTAGAAATTCGTGTGCTTTGGAAATCATTAAGTTTGATACGGAACCACCTTAATATTTACAAAACACACATTATATTTTCCTTTAATACATATTTTTTTTCATCAACTAAAATGAGAATAATCCATACGTGCAAAGGCAAACATTTCAAAATCATGAGTTGAATAACGCTGACTCCGCGAGATTAAATATTAGAGCCTAACACAAAGCGGAGCGGCGACGCACTGGCGCCTACAAACCTAACAGGATACTTCACGCAGTGCGCAACGCGTGAAGTATCCCAGTTAGGTTTGTAGGCGCCAATGCGCGTTCCGCGCTGGCTGCCTGCCTGCCGCGCCGCAGCGCAGCGTGCCACGGCGCTTAAAGCAACTATTTTACACCAGAGGTATTGCACAGTATCACAAGAAATGGAAGACGCTCTAATATTTTAGGAATGGCAGGCATCCATCAAAAGTACGGAGCTTTCCTCGCAAAATAAATCAAGATACTACGGCCCAAAAAGAGAGCAGTGGTCCAAAAACTCACTAAGTCCTAGCATCCGTAATTAGTGACGTTTAGTATACACTTTATCGCCTGGCTGTTGCTTAATCGCCATCGGCTATAAAAGGCTATAAGAATTGTGTAGCCGGCTATAGAAGCTATTGGAAATCATACAGCCGGCTGTAGGTCTATGGTATTTTGGAACACAGATTCTACTGCCAATTTTTACCAGGGAAAGTTAGAAAACTCCCAATTTGCGAGCCACTGTGTCCGAAATAATAAAATAAAATAAAAATGACGCTAGAAATGAAAACATTAATTTCATTATTTGAAATGTTTCGTTTTTTCCTGCAAAGATTTTTCTTCCAGTCAGTATTTTCCCATAGTTACTCGTCGGAGGAATTCGTCACCCGGCTGACATAAGGGCGTAACTACGCATTGATATGAGCCCGGAAAAGCATTGAACTGTATGGAGGACAGGGTTCATTGCAGAGTGTAGTTACGCCCCTATGTCAGGAGGGCGATGAATTATAAGGGTAGTCGCTCGAATCCTCGCTAGGTTTAATTTGCCTGGTACAGAAAATTGCGATTCGTACGTCATGTCACTAACTTTTTCGTCAGCTCTTTTTATGAGACCTGTGACGTCTTCGATCTCGAGTGACTCTTTTATCGAACTTCGGATTACGATTAGCACTGAACTACTTACTGCAAGCAGAATACAGCTACATAACGCTGCGTGCGTCATTCTTCCATCTAGCTGCAGGTTACATTTTTATGACGCTCCTAGAATTGCGAGAAGTGCTACAACTTTTGGACCCAAAGATGTTAAATTTTGGCATCGCCAACAAGTTGTTATTAGAAACGTCCAATTCCCTCTTCAATTTTTGTTAAATCTGCTATTTTTTGAAGCACTTCTGTGGATTTTTTTTTTCCATAAGGCAAGAGGTAAAAAAGGATGCCTACCTTTCTTTAAATTTTGCCCCTTTGCAAAAAAATGAGCCAAAGACAACAGTGACAGAATGCGAAGACACTGAAAACCACAAAACTATCGAACAAAACAAAAATTATTACTCAAGTTAGAAGCCTCTTACCACGATTCACGAAATGAAAAATTTTAGGAATGGGAGAAGTAAGCAAGACATAAATCGTGAAAAAGTAATTTTTTTTTTTTTTTTTACATTTATCGTTTTAGCTTTATTTTGAACCAATCAGTTTAGATCGTATAAAAATTCTCAAAGAAAAAAGAGATGAATATTGCAAAATTAAGGGCAGACTCATAATAACCTCTTCGTTCTTCAGTTTTGGTACCCTGTGCGAATACCCTTTAGCTTGTTCCTTGCTCGAGCTCATATTTTATTGTGAAAATGCCCGTTTTATTTCTTTTGAATTCGACGTCAACTTTTCAAACTTGGAGATTTTGATCTATACCGCTCCAGCCGGTACTGTCTCGCTCCTTCACCCATACTTTTTCCCACGTCGTTTGAAGCTCCAACGATATACTTAGTTCCTGCGATGAGTAAGGTTGCGCTCTGATAACTCAAATCATATTTACCGTCCTCGTCCCCCATCCACGAAATGATGGTTCTCTTAAGACTGATTCCTCGAGAGCAAAACCCCCCCCCCCCCTCTGCACCTCTCTCACAGTAACAGTAAATTAGATCTGTCATGTCACGTCACATGGTCGCTATTCACCAGTCGAAATTGGAATCGTCAAGTCTCATGAAACGTGAGTTTGCACGGTGTGCCTTCCAAGATGAGAGGTGGAATACTGCCTTGCTAAGGAAAAACGCCGTATGAACCTTCAGGCATTGCCAAATCTCCTCTGATAAAATACGAATTTATTGGAGAAATTGTAAATATTTTTCTTCCAGTTTTTCAGACTATTTTGTTCGCAATTGAATCTAAAATATATGAAAGTTTCATGGAAAAATATGCATGAATTTTGTCAAAAAGACACTTTTATCCGGGGAAATTTGGCAACACTCGAGTGTTCGTGCGACGTTCTTCTTTAGCGGCGGAATAGGATTGGACGGGGTAGGGTAGAGTGGTTGCTCGTTTGTGATCGAAAAGGTACAATTAATTTGGTGCAATCGTATCGGAAATGTTTTGTTCTTGTGTCATAGTTTTTCCGTCGTTGTTTCTTTCCGTCACCAGAATCCAATCACCATTCTTCTCGGGTGGTTGATCGAATAGATTCTCGAGGGAGTCAGGTCATACCGTCTTCCTATGTAAGAATGACTCATGACCATTATAGGACGTTGCTTCCTCTTTTCTAATAAAATCAAAATTATTCGGAAATCTGTCATTATTTTCCTTCGAAATGCCCGGAACATTGCGCAGTTTAACCTACGGGAGTCCAAAATTTCAAGAGAAAATACTCATAGCTACTCACAAAATTGTACCAAGGGAAATTCGGCAACAATCAGATGTTCATACGATGTTTAAAAAACGCCACGAGCTTTCGCAAGTTGCCGAATTTCTCCTGATAAAATATTCAATTTGAGAAAAGTTGCATGAGTATTCCCTATTGAAATGTTCAGATTCAGTAGATTGAGTAGCTCTTAAAAGTCTCTGAGAATATAAAACAAAACACCAGTTGTCCGCAAAATTAGTGTTTCGCCAGAAGAACTTTGGCAAGGCCCGATGATTCATATGGCTTTTTTCCTAAAAACGACAGGATAGTCCCTCGCCTCCTTCCCCAATGCTTCTAGCGCGCAGTTACTGTAAAATTTGAAAGGGATGACATTCATGGAGCTTCCGAACTTGCGGAAAGTTGCTTTTAACATGAATCTAGATCTCACAAGACAATATATCAAACATTCGTTGAAATTTCTAAATGTATCAACTATTTTTACTGCATGTCAAACATATACGTCTACGTTCTAAAGCCTATGAGCAAACACTTCTCTCTGAAGTGCGAACGTCTCTGCAGAAGTGAGACATTTTAATTTTACTGTAGTTCTAATTGAACTTGGCTTCTCTCTGTTTCAGGAGTACTTTTTGATATGAGACTGTGAATCAGAAAGTAACCTCAAGTTGGTGAGTCCTTTTACATGATTCCACAATGTTATCTTAAAGATTTTCTTGAGCTTTCTTTGCGTTCGAGTCTTCAAGCGATGGATCGCCCAAAACCAGTGGCGATTTTGCAAGCTGGAAACATTGTTTTTCCTCATTGAAATTCATTAAAAATATCGATTTTATGTGAGGCAATTTACGAATCGATTGTTTTACATACCTTTGAATGGAAGAAAAACAGTTTTGCAAACTATCAAGGGTTGCCACTGCCCCAAACGGCATGGCCATTCGCACCGGCCGGCATGCTTCTCAGTCTCAGTGAAATCCACGAAACCTGGCGAACAAAAGGCCAATTAAAATGAGCGGAGGAAGTAATTTTCCGCAGGTGATAAAGAGTCAAAAAAATGACGAAACCAGGTGATCGATTTTTCATTGTTAGCGAGCCGGTCGCGGCGCGCGAATAGACAAAAAAAGAAAAGAAAATGGAACGAGCAAAAGGAAAAACGTATTCGGCGGTGGACACATCACCAATGATTACGGAGCACGAAGCATGGTTCGTTCTCTTCTTGCTCGTTGTTACTCTTCCTCTAAAACGTTAGACTCACTCTTTCTCCTGATCAGGGTGTCTACAGGTACGGAATTTCCGGAAAGTCCGGCAATAGTACTGATTTTTTAAGGGCGGTCCGGAAGTACTGAAAAAGTGCGGAAATTCCGCAAGAAGGTCCGGAATTTTTGTCGCAATTTGAGCGAGAAATTCCAATCTTTGAAATTTTTTGAATCTCGTCGAATGAAGGTACTGAACAAGTACTGAATTTTTCAGGGGAGGAGGTACTGAATTTCTTGGGAATGCACTGAAAAAATACTGTAAAAGTACTGATTTTTGGTCAGCCTGTGTAAGTAGACACCCTGCTGATAAATCGTTCATTTGAACCAATCGAATAAGCAACATTTCAATATTAATGCACCCAAATTTCCCTTGGAAAGTGGAGCCACTTGCTGAAAATTTCTTTCAGGTGGCCAAGCGACGAGGGATCACTTTAGCATGAACTTCTGAAACTGTCTCAGGAAAAACTTACATAACTTTCTGTAAAATTTCCTGTTTTGATCGCCTAAGCTTATAGATCAACAAAAACTAGTACGATTAGTTCAAAAGCCAAGTTTCTACGTCCAAGCTCAATGGCTCATCGAGAAATAGCGTATGACGTCATCCACCGCGGTCGCGCATTCCGTCGTTTCTTCGACCTTGGTCTCATCCGTGTTTTACATCGAAGAACCAATGCTTTTAGTCGTATCATATGGTTGGATATATCACCGATTGATGAAACCAAGGTGGAAGGCACCACGGTATACCATGGATAACGTCGTACACTGAAAAAAAAAAGTTCTGTTCACAGGGCTCCTGCACTTCTTTTGTAACAGTCACAGAAGCTTCCGTTATGAGGATAGAGGGCTCTGTTCCCACGACCGAAGTTCTGTTCTCACAACAGAAAAATTCTGTAAGCGTAACAAAGAAACTGCAGGAGCCCTGTGAACAGAAGGTTCTGTCGGCAGCACCATCTATTTTCTTCTGTGTATGCTACGTTTTACGATGAGCGATATTTTTGTTAATATTGAACGTAAAAATTTAGCTTTTGGGCGGATAATACTATTTTATGCTAATCTATCAGCTTAAACCATCTTACAGTTCTGTGATTAGCGGAACTGACCCATTCTATGACCGGCGTGAGTGGTACATTCCTGGCTCAGCGACGTCAGGACGTCAGCACATCCAGAGGTGAGCCCTGTCGCCCGTAAAACACAATTCTTTCCAGGGCTCTCGTGGAAATGGAGTCGGGCCCTACGTGAGCCCGAGCGGGCAGACGAACTGGAATAGCGTTGTGTCCTCCATCGGAACGTGATGCACTAACGTTACGTGTCGGTCGTTGGGTCTCTTGGCGTCGCGTCGACTCCTGCCGGAAGAGAGAACTCGCGTCCGTCCGTCGAGCTCGCTACGAAATGGGGGACCAGAATGCGCGGCAGTTCCCTGTTCATCGGGGCAGCGGACCCAGTAGCTAGGACACTCTCGACGCTGGAAAAACGTAGCGCGGTTCGTATCCACTATCCACACACGGTATGCAAGGAGTTTCATGCAGGGTTAAACGGCTAGATTCCAGGGGACTTTTCTATGGTTCGAAATGAGACTTTTTCTCCCTGAAGTTTTTCCAGTTTTTCACAAGAGTGCCCCCCTCCCTCCCCCTCGGAAGCTACATTCTAACCCCAAAACTCATGGAACCATTGTTTACTTTTCATTTTAAGAAAAAAACACTAAGAAATGGCCCGAACTGTATGTAACAAGGTGGAGAAATGGTGCTGGGTCCACACCATTTCGCGGGGAGAACAAAGCCAAGAAGTTCCGAAATGTTTCCAGCCAAGTGTTTCCTTTTCCATATTTTTTGACCGTGGATGAAGTCAGCTATGTCGAAGAAGATGATTTAAACTTACTTGGTAGTGGCGTGGTGGAACGGTTACTTAAGATTACTATGCAACAATACCGGTACTGCGCCTATAAAATGTCAACATTATATCCACTGTATTATTAATTCCCCTTTAATCCTTCAAAAATGAGAAAGTAGGTAATGAAGTGGCGAATAATCGTTGATTATGTGGCATCAGCACTAGAGGAGTAGAGGACACCCTATTTTCATCCATTTCGTCAGCTGTGACAAGGCTCAACTCCCAGCCTTGTCTTGGAATCTCGCATTTTGCAGTTGCAAAACCGTGTGCCGATGTACCGCAAGATCTGCCTGTTTTTCTCGCCAAGGTCCTGATGGTGATGGAAAATTTGAGGAGAAGGCATGTAATGATTGTAATGCGAACGGCGCGGCGGCGGGGAGGAGGGGGGGCGGCGAGCCAGGAGCCAGCAGGGAGGCCGTGGCCGCAATGGAGCGTGAAGTGAATGGCCGGGGCCACCATAGCAAGGTGCTACGTTTACGCCAAAACAACCTATTTTCTCGCACGCTCCTCCGTGGAGCCCCATAGCCTTAACCACAGTCTAGCAACGGTGGTCCCTCCTTCGTTGCCGTCTATTATTGTAGTAGTGACTAGTATATAGGATTGAATGGCTCCAAAACAACTAGCGACTATAAGGCACCATAATAAGATACCCTGAAGAAAAGTTGTGGGGGGGGGGAGTGGATGGGCTTCCCAGAAAATCTCGAATTTCAAGGAAGCATTTCTTCTCTTTTTCTTTTCCCCGTCATTTTTCCTTTTCAGCGCCCATCTCTCGTCAGCGCCTGGAGCAATCGCTCCACTCGCCCATAGGACGCCACGGCCGGCCCTGCGACACATCACAGATCCCGTTTTGTTGCCAGAGAATTTCGTGCAGAAATGACTGAGGAATTTGAAAATTAGTGCCAGTAATATTATGACCAAGCAGTTGGTATGGTATTGGCATGTGCAGAGGATGGCTGATACCAGGTTGTCGAGGAAGGTGTTGGAGCGGGTCCCTCCGGGTCGGCGTCGCGTCGGAGAGGGCGTCCAGCCAAACGGTGGGTGGAGGGCATCCGTGAAGAGATGGAGAGATACCAGCTTCCGGAGGATCTCTACCACGACAGATTCCTGTGGCGGGTAGGTGTCGCAGAGCGGCCTAGCGCGCCGTAAAAGCGACGTATACGTACACAGTGCCAGTTTGAGAGCCCCAGTTTGAACGTGGGCTGGACGCTATTGAAAGATGAGGTCAATACTGCCATGCTAAGGAAGAACGCCGTATGAGCATTCGAGAGTTTCCAAATTTCCTTCGATAAAATGTTCTATTTTAAGGAAAGTTATGAATATTTTCCCTCGCAATTTTCCGGACTTTTCGGTGAAATAGCGAGCAAAATTATCCGAAAAATTGGAAGAAAAATATTCATGATTTCACCAGGAAATTGGTGTTGTGTGAAAAGAAATTTACCAACGCCTGAAGGTTCATACGACGTTTTTTCGTAGCACGGCAGAATATTTGGCCCAGTATTCGAAACTCACCTTTGAGTTTTAGGAGCCATGTAGCGCATCACACCCGATTTTTAGGCGCCATTGAAGATTTTTTAGGGGCCAAATTGACATTTTGCCTATATATTATGGCGCATTTAGTAAAAAGTTAGACGCACGATGTTTTCGTAACAGAACTAGTAAGCAGCTGTAACTAGGGGAAGACAAAAGTGTACTAAGAATGAAATCGTGAAGAATAGAATATTTCCTTCGGAAAATACATTAAAAGCAATCTTTTACTTGTAGTGCTGAAAATTCTGAGCTTTTTCAATGCAAATACATTTGTTTTCCTTTCTTCATGTGACTTCCTGTGAAAATTCAGATTTTTAGGGGGCAATTTTTAGGGGCCACGTTGGCGCAGAGTCTTCATTTTTTAGGCGCCATGGCCGATTTGTTAGGCGAATTTGGCGCGTTGGCGCCTGTGAGTTTCGAACACTGATTCGGCCGGTGATGTGCGATTCGGCAACAACGGCGCCGAGTTTTCCCGGCCCCGGGCCGATTTCTGACACCCCGAGCTCAAAAGCGAGGTCCATCCGCGATGGCTCTATCCCCCGCCGCGCCGGCCCGGCCACCCCGCCCCGCGCTGATCAACGATCAACGATCCTCCCGCATCGATTTCCCTCGTTACCCAACTCTCAACAAGCGTCAGCTCCATCCGTGACCGTCTGCGGTCTGATGCGGCCGTTCCGTTCCCTCCTATCGCCCGACCCGACCCGACGCGACGCGACGCTCTCGTAATTGCACGAATCTCGAATTGAGTTAGGATGATGAGACCCAGTCAACAGTTTAACAGTTACGGAAACGCCGACTAATTAACTACTCGTGTTTATCACACCGACTCGCTCTACGCGCATGAAAAGCAACTTGGACGTATAACCTAACCGAGAGTATCTATACCTATAGGGAGAGAATGGACATGTCGGTAATTTTAAGATTAGGTCATGGAGCTTTTAGCCCGAAACAGGGTGTCTACAAGTCCGGAAATAGTACTGATTTTTCAAGGGCGGTCCGGAAGTACTGAAAAAGTGCGGAAATTTTGCAAGAAAGTTCGGAATTTTTTTCATTTTTGTCGCAATCTGAAAGGGAAATTGCAAATTTCGTCAGTTGAGGTATTGAAAAAGTACTGAATTTTTCTGTTGAGGTAGTACTGAATTTCTTGGAAATGTGCTGAAAAAGTACTGATATTTGGCCAGCCTGTTTTAGTAGATACCCTGCCGAAATGACCGTACTCTACCTATATAGGCACTTAAATCTAACCCAGAAGGTGTTAGAGTACCTCTACGGACAGAGTTTGACCACCACGGGTCGATCATTGAAGTCTATAGA